TTAATTGCATGGTACTTTGCAAATACTCTCTTACTATTGTATATTATGTTTTAAATAATTAATGAATATTAACTACTGGTAAAATCTAGAGTTCTTTTACTTCAACCTTATAATAAATCCAAACATATAACCATTTGAATGCACAGAAAAGGCTAAACCTCAAAGATGTTTAATTAGTAGAGAGCATGTTCCACAATAGGATGTACAGTATCAATGCATTTGAAGGTGGTAGTAACCTCTGCTTAATCAAAGAAATCACAACCTCAGTGAACTTAAGCTAATATGCTAGAATACTCCATTAACTTTTGTTCTCCATGCAATAAGAGGGTCATAAAATCTAGAGAAAAAAAATAAAAGTTTAAAAGAAAAAAAGGAGGGTCAATTTAGTGAATTTATAGTAATTGTATTGTTTAAAATCTACTTCCAGAGAATGTTCTATAATCATAAATATTTAGGGTATATGTAATCTTTATGAAAACATATAGCACAATGCCTGGCACATAATAGCTATTTAAAAAATGTTATCATTACTTTTTAGCTACTAGGTCCAGAGGTTAATTGTTGAAGAACACTGGCTTTGACTTTAGATCTAGGCTGGAATTGTGTCAGTAATAATAAACACTGAGAACTTATATATTACCCTCTGAACTTTATGTTTCTCATCTCTAAGGTGAGACAACAGTATTTTCTATATTGCATTGGGATCAAATAAGATGGCATATACACATATTGAATGGATGTCTTCCACACCACATTATGTCTTTGCTGGTTCAGATTTCTCTGTGATTGAAAGTGGTGGACCACCCTGGCTGGTGTGGTTCAGTGGATTGAGTGCCAGCCTGCAAACCAAAGGGTCACTGTTTTGATTCCCAGTCAGGGCACATGCCTGAGTTGCTGGCCAAGTCTCAAGTAAGGGGTGCATGCGAGGCAACCACACATTGATGTTTCTCTCCCTCTCTTTCTCCTTCCCTTCTCCTATCTAAAAATAACTAAATAAAATCTTTAAAAATTTTAAAAAATTAAGTGGTGGACCTCAACTGGGCTCTAGGTTTCTTACTTTTTACAATAACTACTTGTTTATTTAACCATTTTTCTGTCTTCCTCTGAACCTGGGCATCTTTTGAAGTTAAAGAGCACAATATATCCCGACAGTTTCGTTTTTATTTTTGTTTTTTCATTATAGTACTTTTATTACTTAATTACTGAGATACTTTAAGAGCAGTTTTATTTTCACAGAAAAATTGAGAAAAAAATAAAGAGTTTTTCCATGTATTCCCAATCCCCACACATACATAGCCTTCCCCATTATCAACATTCCCCACCAAGTGGAACATTTGTTATAACTGATAAATCTATACTCATATGTCATAATAACCCAATGTCCATAACTTACATTAGGGTTCATTCTTGGTGTTATAGATTTTATGGGTTTGGTCAAACATATAATGACATGTATCCATCCTAAGGGTCTCATGTAGAGTATTTTCATTGCTATAAAAAATCCGTGTGTTTCACCATATTCATCCCTCTCACACACGACAGCTGACAACCACAAACCTTTGGCAGTCTTCATAGTGTTGCTTTTTTCCAGAATGTCATAATTGGAATCACATCCTTTTCAGATTGGCTGCTTTCACTTAGTAATACACATTTAAGTTTCCTCTGTGTCTTTTCATGGCTTAATAGACTATTTCTTTTTAGCACTGAATAATACCTCATTGTCTGAATGTACCACCATTTATTTATCCACTCATCTACTAAAGGACATCTTGGTTGCCTCCAAATTTTGGCAATTATGAATAAAGCTGCTATACACATTCATGTACAGATTTTTGTGTGGACCTAAGTTTTCAACTATTTGGGGTAAATGTTAAGAAGCACCCTGTCGTAACTTTTTCTTTTTGCAAGGCCCAAATGATCAGTCCAGACTTCCCCTTTCTACACTTTATGTTTATCCCTTACAAATGAACCCTGTAGGGGTCCTCTGAAACCATCAGAGAAGATCTAAGACAGTGAGTATGAAGTGAGACAGAGTGTGATTCTGGATTTTTTCCCTCACAGTGTTCCTTGGCTCCTTACATGCATTAATCTTTTTTTGCCTGAGTGAAAAAGCTTTAAAAATGGCAATGATATTGTAGGGGGATGGACCTGTTTGTTATCCATCAAATGTGCCCTAACATCTTTTCCCTAGGGGTAACTACTGTAATTATATTTACATAACTAATTGAGATCACAAGGGTAATTTTACATAAAATGATGAAAGGCTGCTAGAGAGAATCATTTGCTTTTCTACCCATAGCTATAAAACAGACATGCAATGTTTGGAAATTCTATGTTGGCACCTTGTTATAAATGTAGCAGCCCCAGCCAGATCTCAGCACATTATACCCCTGAGTAAATGGTAACAGCAATTGTTCTTGCAAATTGTGATGATTCTAATGATGATGATGATTGAGAAACTCGATAATGAGGCTCCCAAAACAGTGAAAAATTCCTGAATTTCAATTATTAAAACACACCCAGGTTATTGTATTTCTGCCAGAAATAGATATACATAACTTTCAAAAGTTGTTCTAATGAGGTCAGTTTGATTAATGGCTCACTAAAGGTTAATTTTATCTTATTATTACATATGTAATCACTTTGGGTGAAGCTTTAAATGTATATAGAAATCTAAATGTATAGAAACAAAATATATTGTAGCATGTTTGGAATTTAACAGCGTAATCATCTATTGAAGTTACTGTCTTCGAAAGGTTTTATGTAAGAGAACTATAAAATTACTGCTGTACATTCTAAGTTTCACCACCATTTGAATATTTATTTATTTCCACAACAGTGTTTCCCTGGACAGCAGGTGACAAGGTTCCCATTTCATGTAGCTATGGGATAGCTATTCCACAGTAGCAATGCCCTGTTTTCTATCTACATTTATATAACAGGAACCCCAGATCCCGTTGTTAAGATTGTCTGAAGTAGTAAACAAAAACATTTGCTTCCTCAGGGATTGAAATGACATCTACATACTTTGAAACCCTGGGATTTATGTACATTTATGGGTTATTGCTATATCATGTATTTACAAATAGGGATGGCTCTTAAAAATGTGATCTTAAATATTCTTAGCATTTATTTCTAATATTACATGTATCATTATTTTTCACTTCAAGTGACATTTAATTTTGCTTCGTAGATTTCAAAACTTCACTTGAGCAACTTGTTTTCTAAAGTAGCAGACTTTCTTCACTTTGCTAATTTCTAATTGTCTCCCTATATATACTAAAATATCATCATCCCTTGCTTATTAAAGTCGATATAACATTTTTTATACTTTCCTTTTTTATTTAATTATTTTCAAGTACAGTTTTCTGTCTATTTCTCCCCCCTCCCAGCCCACCCACCCCATGCTCCCCACCTCCCTCCCATTTCCACCCCCCTTAGTTATTGTCCCTGTGTCCTATATCATTTTTAAAGTATTTATTTTTAAATGCGTCCATATATTCCCATTGAGGTCCTTTGTCTATTGCAGTTTGTGCCTCTATATTTCCTTGTATTACCTTCATGTGGACACCATAGTGGTTACATAATCACATACTTTACAAGGTAGTCTACTCCCACTGACTTTTGATAAAATTGCAAGTACCCTGCTGGCCATATTTCCAGCCAGGAAACTTGACAGAAAACAAATATAGACGGGAAATAAGATATCATATAGGAACTATTAAAAGATTATTAGAAAGTATTTATAATAGTACCCTTTATTTCATATTCTCGAGTAGAAGTAACATTTTTAAATTGATTTAAAATTATGCTAAAATACCTTGTCAGTTTTAAATCCTATAAGCTAGTCAAATGATTTACTTTATACTTTTATCACTTAAACTTACTACTTACTTCCTAACTTCTTTTACATGAAAACATCTGTGTAGTTTATCATTATATGCTTGCATAAAAATAGCCAGGGAAGAATTCCAATATAATAATCATCAGTGGGAGTGAACCTCATTTTACATTATGAGATACAGTAACAGCTGAACATCCACACTCAGCAAATTTATATGATGTCTTTTTGGTTTATCCTTTTTACCCTCTAATTTTACCCTCTAATTTTCAGATATTGTGAACAGTTGCAAAAAGAATATTAGAGTAGGAGTCAGAATATTTGTATTCCAACCCCTCTCTACAAGTTCCTAAATATAGGATGTTGTTTCAGTTAATCACTTCCCAAAATCTCCCTTACTTCCTTTGTAAAATAGGGATGATAATAGTAATCACAACTCCTTCCCCCACAGGGCTAGTGTGAGAATTAGATCTACGTAAAGCAGTTAAGCAGTACAGGAGCTCCTACACAGGGCGCTCACTGAACGTTAGCTGTCATACTATACTGCAATTATTATAACGTCCCTTTCTCTCCTTTCTCTTCCTCCTGGAAGTTAACCGATTTTTCTGCATATTTACCTGGAAAGTGGGTCAAATTATTCTGCCCTGCATGAATTAAGCAATGCATATGATGCTTTAGGAAATACTATGTTCTACAAAAAGCGGAGGTGAACAGAAATTAAATGTAACAAATCTACATTTTTCAAATACAAAATTTTTTTAGAAGTAGCTGCTTCATGGTTTAGTGTAAAATATTCTGTAGGAATAATTCAGCCTTCCAGGAATATAATTGCAGTAGAGAAACCAGCATGAGTATCAGAGTAAATTAGGCAGACCTTGGAAATTATGTAAGCAGTATGGCTCAATGATGCTGCTTTTTAGAAGGAATATTTGGGAGAAATATTGAATTTTAAAAATCAATAATTCTTCCTTAATTTTCAGTATGATAAGTACAACTTCAGGTTTTTTTCAGATCAGAATAGATCCTTTTTTCCTCCTCAAGTGTGTTCTTTGATGTACTTAGAGAAGCCTAACAAGTTAATTTTCATTGAACTCTATACTTTGTAAAGTGTGTAAACACTTCGAAGAGCTGACCTGAAAGCCACATTCTTGTTCTTCAGTTTCCAGAAAGTGACATTGAAGCAAATAGCTGTGGTTGGTTTGAAGCAATTAGCGGTGACCATTTTGACTGGGTATGGAGCTCTAGGAGTACACTTTTTGCCAATTTTGAGCAAAAGGCCCCAGCCAGTGATCATACTCACAATACTGCTCAAGGTAAGAAGTAAGCAGAGGCTCTTACTAATAATGACTTTGGTTTACCTTTGGTCAGGCCTGAGCAGAAAAAGAGAAGCAGATAACATTCTGTGTTACTGCAAGAAATAGTAGGGCATTCGAGCATTGTCAATTACATTGTCTGCTTGGAATTATTCCTGTATGGGTGGTGAGGATGGCATATAGCTGTATTTTGGCTAAATTAACAAGAACTAAAATTACCAATGGTTTTCAGCATCAATTAGACCTCAGTGTAGATCATAGTTTAGTATTTTTAAGAACACATTTTATTAGCAATCACTTTTATTGATTTTTTAGTTGTATGGTCTTAATTTTAGTTGGACATGGAAGTTATTTAGCATAAGGTTAAGAGACAGGTGTCTCACTTTATAACCCAATAGGTTTATTTATGATTTGCTTTTATACACCGATAGGGAATTTTATGCTCATTCCGAAGAAGAGCAGCAGCTTATTACAAGCTGCTAAACTCCAGAGCCCAACTTTCAGCCAGAGAGGAACAGGATGCGTGCTTTCTTTCTGGCACATGCCGAAAACAATGGTCAATGACCCTAGCAGCCCGGTGGCTGCAGGCATATTCCTGCAGTTGGTGAACATTATGATTTGCCCCAGTTTTGTTTAAAAAATAGCTGTTGCATTAGATCCACCCAATTAGCATTTTACTTACAAGCAGCTCATTATCAGTGTTTGTTGTGATCTTTTTTAAGCTGAAAAAAGTCTTTCCCTCCAACAATGGATTATAATTCAATTAACACTACTTCTTCTGTTTGAACTGAACTCCTTGAGAAAGGCACCTGGAGTCCTGAGAGGCAGAGTATGCATTTTAGCAGATAAGCTTGGCAAATGTGTAGCCATGATTACTGCAAGAAATAAAGGTGTCTATTATGATAAGTAATTATTAATTGTTGACTGAGTGAAAGAGTCTAAAAAGGCAAATAAGTAGTCTTTCCCATCAATCATTTTCACTTCTTGTGTGCACTCTTCTTCAGGTTTTATACCTGTGGCCATCAGTGGGAGCAGCTGTGCTTCAGCTCCGTGTGCAAAACTGATGACTCCTCGGTACTCTGAGAGCAGTACAGAACCAGGGCAACCGGTGGTCACAGGCAACTGTTCAGCTTGGGTGCCTTACTTGACTCTTCTATGTGTCATTAGAAAAAGGCAGTCTTGGCATTTATGATGGGGTCTCAGCTATTAATGACTTCGGTTTTGAAAAAACTGTGCCCTTCCCCTCCCCACGAAATGCTATGAAGGGCCAGATCATTTCTGGTGTGGACACACTAAGACCTGCATGGAAAATTTCAGTTATGTGATCTGGTGGATGATTGAGGTGACGTTACTGATGAGGTTGACTGTGGTATTTTTTTTTTGTTGTTCCTCATGTTGATAGTGGTGATCTTAGGTTTACTGTTTTCTACTCAGGCAAGCGAAAGACACTAAGCATTGTTCCAGGGTTGATGAATATTTTGTGTGATTTCGTTAATCAATTAGTCAAGCCATTAGTATTTATTAACTAAATACTAGGGATACAGTGTTGATTACAACTACACAGAGTCCCTGCTCTCATAAAGCTTAAAGCCTAACTGAGAGGAGAGATTACTAAAATATTTAATAAATAAATAGAAAATGGTAGCTTTGGCAGGACTTAAATAGAGAGGGGTGATGTGACTTTACATCATAATTGCTTTGGACTTTCTAGAGGTGATGAATTAGCTGAGATCTGAGAACTAGCAAGTCAAAGCATACATGCAAACACCCCACTGTGTGACTGCATGGCAGAGGGGAGGTAGCTCACATGAGGCTGGTGCAAGGGGAGAGGAGAAGGGAGAACTAAGTTGCCACATGAGCATAGAAATGTAAGGGGAGGCCAGATTTGCAGGTCTTTTTAGTCCATGTTAAGGAAGTTGTTTCTCATTTGAAGGTGTTTAAGAAGGAAGCTAATGTAATAAAATCACTGTATTTGAAAACATCACTGTGGATATGTGGGTAATGAATGGATTAGAGAAGACTGGAATCAGGAGATCCATTGCAGTAGTCAGCAGTACAGGGGCTGGCAGCTGTCACAATGCTAAGGATGGAGACAGAGGGACAGAAGTTTGAAGAAATATTTAGGAGGGACATTTGACGATGCTTTGGCTATAGGGAGCAGAGAGTAAGGTGCCCAAGATGAGTCTGAGTTTGTGGTTTAAATCAAAATATTTGTGCATCTGATGACTGTGTAGGTTTTGCAATTTAATAAACTTAGCTGCAGATAGAACTTAGTGCACTTGCTTCTGAAAGTAATCAGAAACTAATAGTTTTGTGTTGGTTTTAATTGAAAAAAATCGTATTTTTTCTTTCCCAGAAATAGCAACAACACTTAAAATTTAAGGTATGTGTCTGTTAAGTTGGGAGGCCAATTCTAAACCAAAATAAAGCCATAAAATGCTGGGTACACTATAGAAAACATTACATTAGGAAATCTCCTCATAAATCATTGTAGAGAGTTTTACACATATGCCATTTTGATATAGTCCAAAATTCCATTACATAAGTAATATTTGTGTGGATATGAGCAAAATTGATGATTTTGACAATCTATTTTGAGAAGTCTTGCTTGTCCTACATCTCATTCATTTTTTTTTGCAAATTCAGAAAGCTTTTTCACCTTTTTCAAGCTCTCCAAATATCATCCTTTAAAAACTGTTGATCTGTTGCTAAAAGTAAGCAAATTGTTTTCAAACTTGTTAGTATTAATTTCAGAAAATGGAGTTATGGCAGTACAAGGATTAGTAATACACTTCTTGTGACTAAATACTAATGAAAGAAAACAGTAGTGGCTGTAGACCGTCAGTCTCACTGCTTTCCACCTGGACGTATTAATTTATTATAAAGAATACAATAGATATCCCAAGTCCTCGCTGTATATCCTGAAGTTATTTAGGGTCATTGCCTTTTTTTAACGGCAGAGCTACACACATTCCCTTTTGTAATGAAGTTTGAGCATGTACTCAGTAGGAAGACAGGAAATATACAGATCTGTTGGCTTTATGTCAGAAAACTCAGCAGCTTGACGTTCTCCGTCTGCTCTACAGCCAAAGACTGACACCTGGAGAGTACGCCATGGGTCCCCAGTTCACGTCACAGCTGGGCCTGATTAGTCACGAGTGAGGATATACCAGATGAAAGCTCATCTTCCATTTGACGCTTGCTTACTGGGCTCCCTTGGTTAGGTCTAAGCTCCTGTTCTCTGGTTTTCAGATGCAGATGATTTGTTCTTGCCTTGCTGCATTTAATCACGTATAGTTTTATTTATTGTTTGAATATTTGTTCATCTTCACGTCAAGCACAGTTACACTAAAATGAATAAAGGACAGCTGATATTTATTTTACAAAATTATTAAATTATGTAAATGAATCCAAAATATGGAACTTTTGTCATTAATTCTAAATCCTATCCCTTCTGCCCAAATAATGTCAAATAAACATTCTGTCCCATTTATCATATACAAATGCTTGATGCTGACAAAATTCTCACCCCTTAAAAAATGAATATAGCCCTGGCTGGTGTAGCTCAGTGGATCGAGTGCGGGCCTGCAAACCACACAATTGCAGTTCGATTCCCAGTCAGGGCACGTGCCTGGGTTGCAGGCCGGTTCCCTGCAGGCCAGTTCCCAGCAGGGGATGCACGAAAGGCGACCATACATTGATGTTTCTCTCCCTCTCTCCTTCCCTTCCCCTCTAAAGATAAATAAAACGTTTAAAAAAATGAATAGAGTCTTGTGTTACCCTAGACATTTGGGAAGAGTAATTGATCAGGGACTAGTCAATTTTCTTTAAGTGCATTGAATTCTTCTAGTGAATGAGGGCATTAGGAGTTTAAAAGCTCCAGATCCAAGGAGCTACAATCCAGTGAGAAGAAAAGACTACCACTGAGAAGACACAGCTACGAACCAGCAAGACACACAGCATAACGTTCGGCACAGAGATGGGAAAGGGATGAAATGTCCAGGGAATGTTGGGAAGATGATGTTTGCTAAGGGGACGAACAAACATGAAGTTGATTTAGTTTGGGAAGATGAAGCTTGAAGGATAGAGGAGTTTAGATATAAGTTTAGGTTAAATGATTATGCATATTCAAGGGTTTTGAATGGAGAAGGGAAATGATAAACTGTCATTAAAGTGTGGTTATTCCGGCAGGAATGCGCAAGGAACACTGGGAACTTGGACGGGATGGAGGTGAAAAGAAGAGTTTCTTAGAGTGAGATCCAGAAAACACCTGCTTTATAATCACCCTGGGTTCTTATTGAAAACAGATTCCGGGGCTTCACCTGCCACGTATCAAACTAATACTCATGCCGGTTTTACCATGGAAGCAATTTTACCATGTACCCCAGATGATTCCCAAAGACTGAAACCTATTAAAACATGGCCCTTCTCAGCTCACCAAGGGAGCTGATAACATAGCCTGATGATTGGCTGTATCATCTGGACCATATTTTGGGAGATGAAGTCTGGGCTTTGTTGTATTGTTTTTTATTATTATTTTAATGTTCACTGGATTGGAACTTGCAGCTAAAGTTGAAGTCCACTAAGCCAGAAGTATGTCGCAGTGAGCTAGGTGTTGGGCTGTGATCATGTGCCTAGAGTTATGGTAAAAGAAAAAGATAAGTGATGGGCATAAAGCACAAAAGCTGTTTGGAAAATAATGGCCAAAGTAATTCCACCTTCATTCCATAAAATATTATTACTTGATGTATTATCTAGGATCTGTTCACTCTTTTGAAAACTTTACATTTTTTTAGATTAAAATTGCTTGCCTTGGCAGGGGGAGTAAATATGAGTATTATTAGTTATAGTTATTTTTGTCCTTAATTATCTTTTGCTATTAGTTACTGCCAATTTCAGCACTTAAACTACAGTTTATTTTGAAAATGGAGTTTGTTACTGGGAACAAGATACGAAAAGTGATTTTGATCGGACCAGGAACTAGGCTCCAACTTCAACACTTGATACAGGGCCAATGAAGGATAATACTTTGGGCACAGCTCAAGGACACTAACTCTACATGGAATCTTCAGAGCCACAGGTTTTCCAAAACACAGCTGCTTTACTCAGGCTGCTCCCTAAAGCCACTGTTAGAGATGGCTGCACCTTCCTCTTCTATCACCACATATTTGGGAAGCACAGTCACAGGCTGGCCATCTACCAGAGAATCCAGAGCAAAACAAGGAGGAAGCTGCTATCACAGATATTTAGGAATCAAGGCAACAGATGGGTAAAGAAACACCTCCACCTTTCCACCAAGCTGCCTTTTGAGGTATGGAGAGTGGGTTTCTTTTTATTTTTATGTTTTTAAAGAATTTAAATTTTATTTATTTTAGACAAAGGGGAAGGGAGGGTGAAAGAGAGGGAGAGAAACGTCAGTGTTTGGTTGCCTCTCTCCTGCTCCTGTTGGGGACTTGGCCCACAACCCAGGCATGTGCCCTGACTTGGAATGGAACCAGTGACCCTTTGGTTCACAGGCTGGCACGCAATCCACTGAGCCACAGCAGACAGGGCTGGATGATGGGTTTCAGAATGTGCATTGGAAATGTATCTTGATGTCTAAGGAAGATTGCTAAATAATGTCTAGTATTGCTATGCTATATTTTTTAATTTAAATGAACTGGAGTTTGATCAAAGTTAACTTCGATACTATTTATCATTTAATTAAGGGTGTACTGAAGCATGTTAACTTGTTTTCCCCCTTGACTGCCCCCAATCATGGGTGATTAAAATCATTGAAGTTGGACACATGGCACTGGAAACAGCTGCTGGTCCCTTAATTTTAAGTACTTGCTCTATTAAAAAAATCTTGAGGGAAAAAAAGGAGTCTGGTACCATCTCTGGTATGTTGAAAAAAAGCCCAAACTCTTAATTATGTTATTTTGAATAGTTCATTTGAATATTTCACATTTTATAGGTAAGCAGTGGAAGTCCAGGGAGAGTGCACGCTTTGTGGTGAGTTGGCACAGCTGCTCTGGGGCAGAGCTGACTTTTGGGCATAGGGTTCCTTACTCCTGGTGGAAACTCTTGACCTTAAATTTTACCTGCCTGCACCTAAAAGTCAAAGTTACAACAGCAAATTCAAATACTTATGTGGCTTTTACCTCTTGCATTTGTGACTTTTACATATATTTTCTGTTTGGTCTCTCAGTGATCCCCTGAAGTGGGTAAGTCAGAGATCCCTGTTGTCCGTTTCATAAATATCAGTAAAAACTCAGAAAAATGTGGCTAATTTTCAAAACATGAATCCTGTAAAGCTGTACCTATTTTCCCATACTTTTTCCCAAATCCATTTTAGAAAGCATTTCCAGATTTTGATGATGCAGAAGAAAGTATGGTGTAATAGTCTTATGAAGGAGCATAACAACATTTAAATACTGCAATTTCTGGAGGTGCCAGTACTTCTCAGAATGCGCTTAGTGGTTGCAGCACTGCTCATTTATACTAACTCTGTCATAATTCACTATCCTAATACTAGTCATATTCTATACTCATTAAATGTTACATTGGTCTTAATGAATCATAGAGGATGCTGCAGAGAAATGGCTTGTATAGGGACATGATATAATATGTCAGTATAATGTTTCCTTTTCCCAAAAGTGTTTTCTTGGATATTTTACATTTCAGCTGGTGTATGTTTGTAAGCATGGATCTGAGGGTGCGAGTGTCTGCAGATCTGTGATCCTGGGTGTTACTATTGTAAGGCACATTCATATATGACAAGGTATTTATTCCATCTATTCCAGAACACTACCACCAGTATAGTGTTCGAACTCTATATTTAAAATTTTGGATTCAATGCATACTACTGTGCTTGTTATCTGAGATTGTTCATGGATTGGCAGTCTTAAAATCTTAAGCCCTAAACTATTTATTTTTCTTTTGAATTCTCATTGCTTTAATCTCAGCTGCTTTATTTAACATGTTTAATAAGACTTGCATCATTTTTTTAAAAGTTATTTAGAATTTCTTAGAACTCACTGCTGATTCTTTTCCCAGCATGCTTTTTGAATAGGAGACACTTGTCTTTCTCCTAAGTATATACCACTGGCACACAATTTCCATGAAAAAAATCAATATAGCAAAACAACTTTTTACAGAACACCCTGTGTGGAGGGTCACATTGACAAGTCAGCAAGAGAAGGGATGTGAGCCAGGTTGGGTTGTAGGGGCTATGGAATGGAAGTAAGAGAGCAGTTACTTTATTGTAAGTGTTTTGAAAAAAACTTTAAATCATAGCTTCTAAAAAGCTTTCAACTCATAAAACTGAGCATACTACTGACCTTCCAAAGGGACAATTTCTAACAAAGGAAACACAGTGAGATTCTTTGTCATATCTGGTCTCACCTACATGTCACGTTTTATATATATTTAAATGAGGATGCAGCTACATAATGAATTGTAACTATTTCACACAAGTGCCCATTGCCTGATGTTTTCAGCTGCCTGATTTACAGGTGATGTACCAAAATGTTGTATCAGAATTATAATATTTGAATACAATTTGAATTATTTAACATTAAAATTAGTTCCAGCATTTTCTCACCACGTATTTGAAGCCAAATGTAAGCATTTATTAGTTACGGGCTTTTCCATCCTCCCTCTGCACATACTGTCAGAAAACGTTTTCTCATACAGAAGACTGAGTTTCTTGTTGTGGCTTCAGTGTCAACCGTAGTCACTGATAAGTGTTAAAAAAAACCTAGTTTAATGCAAGTTATTAATTCTTGGAACCAGAACTTACCATCTTCAGCTCACTCATTTCTAACATGACCTCTTTTTAAAAAATATATGCTTATGTAGGAGGACGGCATGGGGGGAGGCACTTTCAAAGAAACGATTGTTAAACTAGACCTCTTAATACCACAGAACTTTCTCATTCGCTCTGAAAGAATTCTGTTGTATTCTGGTGACGCTGTTAGGTATTAAAAAACCCAATTTTTCCCAGGCGAATTTTGTGGTGAAATATTTTTAGAAAATATTATTCATAACTATAATGTATTTTTTTTCATTTGTGGAATACGCCTTTAAATCTAAAAGGTGCATCACGTTTCAGTGCCCCTAGGAATAAAATGTTTCTGAAGTGATGCTGTAAATAAAACAGGACCAAATTTAATAATGTTAGGTCGACCCCACAGTCCATGAAATTATGTACAAAAATGCTAAAAATCTAAATTATAATGCAGCCTCACATAGCATTTTTCTTCAGGGGGTGTGTAGTTGCTAGAATTTGCACTGACATGTTTTGGATGACTGACTTGTAGCCTGTGCAGCAACACTCAGAGGTTCGTTGCTTACTGAGCAGCACAGTAAATCTTTTTTCACAATTTTTAGTCTTTCACACACTATCTCCTCAGCTGAATCCCAGCATAACCGCATCTTACTATGTGAACTCTCATGCAGTCCTCATAGGAAGTGATGAACCTGGTTTCCAGGCTGAAGAACAGGTGCCTGGGGCTGGGGGGGAAAGGGTAGGTGGATATTACTATAAGAGTGTATGTACCAGAAAACAAGTTTTATTTCTTAATAAATCCATTATTTCAATCCTACTCTACTTGTTGTGACTTCTGTAGCACTAATTTTTCTAATATTTTGAACATTTAATATTATAGTAAAATGTAATTATGGATCATAATGCATTAGAAATATACTTTACATTCACAGAGGTGGGCAAAAATAGGTTTACAATTGTGAATACACGAAACAGTTTATTCTTGTATTATTATTATTAATTAGTGTATTATTTATTTGCATTAAAACTGTAAACCTACTTTTGCCCTCCCCTGTATTATTATTATTATTAAAAACATATTTATTTATTTTAGAGTGAGCAGAAGGGAGAAAGAAAGAGAATGAGAGAAACATCAATTGGTTGCCTCTCACACGCGCCTTTACTGGGACCAAACTGGCAACCTAGGTATGTGCTCTTATTGGGAATCAAACCAACGAACTTTTACTTTGTAAAATGACACTCAACCAACTGAGCCACACTGGTCAAGGGCCAATCCTGTATTATTAGTAATATATATTATTTTGGATCATTGAACACTGTAAAATTATAATATAAGCAATGGTAATATTCAAATATTTCAATAGTCCATGTTGGAAAGCAACAAAGAAAAAAAGAAAGACAAAGAAAGAAAGATTTGGTTGGGGAACTGAATTTTTCAAAATTGACAGTTGGTTGATGCGAAAAGGTGGAAAATTATTAACTAAAAATTAATGATTTAGTTTCAGTGTGTCTTATAAGCTTTCATGACCAATACCGTATTTTGAGTTTTATGTAACTATGTTTCTGTTTGTTTCTTTTTTCCCAGATGCTGCCTATCCAAGCCATTTGGGCCCTTTCTACTCACGGATGCTTCCAAGTCAGTTCGCCCTGCCTTCTTTCCAGGTTCGGTAGGATGGAGTGAGAGAATGTAGACCCACTGGGGAGCAGGAGGCTGGCCATGTCTGATGCAAATTTGTCTCAGCAAGGCTGTCAGTCAAGGAGCTCTGAGTGGGGTTGAAATCTCAGCTGTGGGATTTATTTGCCATTTTGGAACTTGCATGAAAAGTGTGGGATATGCTAACAGCTGCCCTGCCTGTCTCTTCTTCGTAAGGAAGTATTTAACTTGTGTGAAGCTGCCATATGAAGAGGTATATTAAGTTATCAATGGTGAATAATTTTGCTAAAAACTATACTTTTAAGTTACACACTGTATAAGAATCTTCTTATTTAGACAGTAGCCCTGTATCTAGCTGGACAAACCAAAGCAACAGTTTATTCCTTTCTGACATACATTGTTTATTCTCTAGGAATAAACTCCATGAAATGTCTTTCAAATGTGTTTTTCTCTGCTGGTCCAAACTTGTTTTGGTCATATTGAACACTTCAGATTTGCCTTTTCTCCGTAAGTTGTTTTTTTCTTTTTTTTTTAACAGTATAACATATTGAACCAAATAGTTTTGCTGGCTGATACTGATGACACATGATTTTGCTTGTTATCTTCAGTAGAAAATCAATGTGCCGCAGCATTCACTAAGAAAAAGGGATGGGACCTTTTGTCATTCTTTGTCAGGTGATTGCTTTATCTTGATTTATGCCTTTAAACTTTTTCTCATTCAGCAGAAAATATTGTATTGCTATCAGTGAGAGCAAAGCGATCTATACCAATTATGCTCTGAAGGCACCCTCCTTCCAGGGTTGTTTATGGAATATATTAACTCACACAATAGATTAGTGACACGTTACTTTATTTTTTCTTAAACTTGTCAGATCAATGACTTTGG